TAATATACATACACAGTAAATATGTATACTGGCCATCCCAATCATTTGAGGAAATTACGTTGCTTTTTTTATGCTGCTTACTGTATTGTTTCCTTAAATGATTGGGGTGGCTGAATAATAATCTATGGTGGTCAAGGCCACCATTGGCCATTATCTGACTCTGTGAATGCACCTGGTGGGGAGTACATTTACTCACTCTGTACCACCTCAGACAAAAAAAACACAAAAAAAACCCCACGTATTTTGTTATACATTGTGTAACACCTACCCACTTGAATATCAGGTGCCCCAAAAAAATGAAAACTTCACTTGCTTTCCCTGCTAATTCTAGTTTAGAAAATCTCTCATCTCAAAAACTACAAGCATTCATTATTTAAATCAGCGTACTGCTTGTTATTTGTAGGTCTTCAGTAGTTACTGTTTAAAATTGTTGTAAGGCTTTTTAAAGTAATTTAAACATGGTTGTTTTGTTAATTTTCAGAATGTTAGCTATTAATAATCTGTCAATACAACATATCTATAAATGACTCTTTCATGTTTTAGTTTAGATTTGAATTACACAGATTGCATGTGTAGTTGTCTCAACCTGTGACATCATTTAATAACCATAGACACCAAAACAACATCGTGACCAAAGAGATGTTTGAGTATGGACAATATGTGTCAGTGTTTAAAAGCATAAAACACATAGAAAATATTACATTTTTTACACATTATAAAAAAAATAATAGTTGTTAAAAGTCACATTTGAATCAAGCAAAATCTAAAGTATTAAAATGATAAAATGTTTGCGTTCCTCATTTTGTCACCTGTGATGTAAATGCTGACGAGGCGGTTATGATCTGCTCCGTCTTGATCTTTGGTTCTCAGAACAGCCACCACCTCACCGAGGGGATCGCTCTCCTTCACTGCACCTCGGTAGAAGTCCCTCTCAAACGTCGGCGGATTGTCGTTGATGTCGGACACAGTGACGGTTACTACGGTGGTGGAGGACAGGGCCTTTGACTCGGCCAGGTCAAAGGCCACCACTTCAAAGCTGTAGCTAGAGCAAGCCTCGTGATCTATTGGACTCACTGTGGTGATCCAGCCCGTTTTACTGTCAATGGCAAATACAGAACTTGCAGTAATTGGACCAGGGAGGGACTGAGCACCTTTCGTTGAGTCCAAATTGTAAGTAAGCAGAGGCCCAAGGCTGTAGGTTACCTGTGATTTAAAGAAGATGTATACACCAGCTTTGCAAAGCGTCTCCATTTTTGTAAGCTGAGAAAAATCTTTTTAGCAAAAAGCAAGAAAGTAGCTGACACAAACCTGCCCATTAGAGCCCCAGTCTGGATCAAGTGCACGCACTTGGACCACTCGTGTCCCTGCTGGCATCCCCTCCATCACTGTGGCGACATAGGTGTTAGTCTCAAATGCCGGCTTGTTGTCGTTCACATCTAGGATCTGGAAAATGACAGTCTTTTATTTGTAATGGCTCCAAATAAGACAAAAACTGTTCTGGTGTTTTCAATCCTTTGTGTTGTTATTGTAAAGTACAAAATGTATAGAAAAAATCTTGCACTTTACACTTATGCAAAATACCTTTTCCCAGAAAAAGGACAAATACAAAAATGGCACATGCACATACTTCTAAGAGCATATGAATATTTACATTTTGCATAAATAATTTAGTTTAATTTGTTGTGAAAACTGAACAAAAACGTCCATGTATTTTCAATAACTGCAATAAAGGCATGTTTTGCTCTTTTGTCTAAAGCTCATTCAACATTTTGACTAAACTCTTAAAGCAAAAGTTTAATTTTAGGTGTGACAAGTATGTGCATTTAGCTAATATATACTTTGTACATTTGTTGCTAATATTCCCTAAAGGAGCCTTAGGTTTCAAACGCTGGAACATTTTTCTTTAGTTTTGGTGTATCCACTTTATAAAACTGAACATCAGAAAAGCAGTTTCTGTGTTCATATCAGACCTTTACTTCCAGATCCACAGTAGAGACGGTCTCGATCAGGTCTCTTCTTGTTGTTGCCGCCACTTTAAAGCAAAAAATAATGGCTTGTTCATAGTCCAGTGGTTTGAGCAGATGGATGAGACCCGTCTCCCTCTCCACCTGGAATGTCCCCTGCTGGTTGCTGTCGAGTGTCTCGCCTGCAACTGTGGTGAAGAAGCCCGTCTGCCCAGGGCCCATGTACACAGACCCCAGAACTGTACCCACTGCAGTGTCCTCAGGGATGGTGAAGGAGTACTGGGGCTGGCTGAAAGAAGGAATAAGCGAGTCTGGGGGGACGACATGGATAAAGGCTGAGACCAGGGAGTGCTTGGGGGGAGATCCACAGTCTGTGGCTTTGACAAAGAAAGACAGAACAGTTCCCTGAAGATGATCCACTGCACTTTTAGTCATCATCCAACCACTGTCTGGTTCCACCTGAAGAAGCAAAAAAAAACAACCCAAAACTTTACATTACCTTTAAAAATAATAATCCCCTTTTCAACTTCCCCCCTAATAACAAAATAATTGTAATTTTGAGCCTATTTCACAATTGAACATAACAAATAATTTTTGTATTTCAAATCCATGTAACTTAATAATTACTTTGATACAAAATAAATACAATGAGCAGTAGCTTTAAATTTCAAAGCATTTTTTTTATTTTTTTTGTCTTTACACCAGATGTTGTCACATTGCTCTTAATAAAATTAATATCACATTTCAGATACTGACCGCAGAATCAACCTTGGGACCCACATCATTTTGATTTAACAGTAAAAATCTGTGATCTACAAAAAAACAGATGGCTCTTAATCCCCTAAAATGATGAGGGGGATGTGTGAACAGAACCTAAAGTGTGTATTATTGAGGTTTAAATACATTGTTTCTGGGAATTGTATCTGTCTTTTGTCTTTTGTCATGTATTATGTAGTATGTTAAGTATGTTATTATGTAGTAGTATGCAATATGTGTATGTGTAAAAACTAAACAGCACTGACCTCCAGAACATCCACCAGTGACAGACGGGCCTCACTGTAAAGAGAGTAGGTTATCCTTCCATTGGAGCCAGCATCCGGGTCAGTGGCCTGGATCTGTGTGATAAGGGAACCTTTTGCAACGTTGGCTTTAATGCTCATACGATACTCCACTGCTCTGAACCGAGGGGCGTTGTCGTTTTCATCAACGAGGACCACTCGCACTGTGCAAAACGATGCACGGCCTGAAAAATAACATATGTGACACTTAAAATACCAAAAAAGTGTGACCACACATGTTGTATGAACCTGTATATTATTTTAAGTCTTATGCTAGCTGTTTAAAACATGTTATATTTTTGTTTTATTGGCTTGGGGATTGGTCAAATAATAATACCTCCACCATCCAGTGCCATGACAGTCAGCACCATATCCCTGTTCAGATAATTTTCTCTATCTAGTGTCTGAAGGGTGGTTATGAGCCCATCCGCATCAATGTTGAACTGGGTTTTTGCCAGATCATTGATGAAGGAAAAGGTGATCTGACCATTCAGCCCAGAGTCTTCGTCTGTTGCAGAAACCTGGAAGTCCATTTAGAAATTTAGTAAAACGCTTCCTACTCAGCATGAAAGACTCACAACATACAGCAAATCATTAACGCTAACTTTTACAAGTCAAGTGGTGTAATGGCTAAAATACCTGTATGACCTTTGATCCTGGAAGGACATTTTCTTGAACCTCAGCCAGATAGAACCTCTGGCTGAACACTGGGCTGTACAGATTAGCACCCAGGACACGGACAATAACCTGCAAATCATGGTTTCAGTCATTTCATTATCACCTGGATTGCTTCTCTGACATTTCGTAGATGCCGTCACAGCAAATACAACTGGCTAATTTGTCAAACATGATCAAATCAACATTTGAACAACACATCTGTAAGCTACATGTTTAGTGATGTAATTTAAAAACCATCTGCGGTTTCCAAATATCTAAATTGTCATCACCTCAAGGAGACAAAAGTGAGCACATTTTCCAGATAGAAGCTCATCCTCATAAATCTGATGTGACATGCCATTAACCTCCGACAGTAACTTGCAGTTAAACTAGAGCGCTGTGTCAGATGTTTGTAATAATTTTAAACCGAGTGGGTCAGTCAGTACTGAAAAAATGCTGCAGTGGTGTCAGACATGGGCAAATCATTCAACAAAACTAGATTGTACCTGCCAAGAGAGGCTTTACCTGAGCAGTGTTGGTAAAGACTCCATCTGACACAGACACGTTGAGCTGATAGGAGAGTTTCATGCCTTGTCTCCTCTTGTTAGACATACGAAGCACTCCTGTGTCTGACTCCATCATGAAAGTCATTTTCTCATTCCCTGAGAGAAGACTGTACCTGGAAGAAAAAGTAATAAAGAGAATCTTGCATCATAAAAGTCACTTCCCAAGTCCTTGAGATAATGCTAAATGAGAAGATTGGATACAGTATTTATTTTTAAATAATTCTGCTCAGAGGTTGCAGCTTGAGCAAACAGTTACTACTCACGGGAAATGGTAAGTAAAATCTGCCAAACTAAAAAAATTAATTACCAACACAGTGAGTTTTAGAACCAGTTTAGTAAAGATGATAATGTTCTTAGATTTCAGTGATAAACTGCAAGAAAATAATGAAAATCTAAAATACAACATAAAATACATCAAATTTATAACGCTCACCTCAGCCTCTGAAAATCGCAAATGTCAGCATCTGATGCCTGAAGGCAAGTCACAAAGTGCCCCATGGGAGCCAGGTCGCTGACAAAAGCCTCGTACAGTGTTTGACTGAAATTAGGCGGGTTGTCGTTTGTGTCAGTCACAACCACGGTAACACTAACATCACTGCTGAGGGCAGGGTCTCCACTATCTGTCGCCCTGACAATGAAGTTGTGGCGCCGTATGAGCTCGTAGTCAAGCATGCTCGCCGTGAATACCAATCCAATGTTGCTGTCAACTTGAAAGTATTCAGTGCTGTTGTAGATGTCAGATAGGATCTGGTAAGTCACTGCCGCGTTCCTCTCCGAGTCCTGGTCCTGAGCAAAGAGCTACAGGGAGAAGAACAGAACATTCTCTGATGCCTTATACATAATTCAAGTCACAAGTGAGCACCTTGACACACTCCACTGAGCAAACACGGTCCAAAAAGAAGAAAAGATATGGAGATAGAACATATGTTTACCGCAAATCTGGCATAACAATTTACATCAACACCTACATAAAAACCTTCTACTCATCCAATTTTTTTGTGTGTATGGGTGGTTTGTTCAGTTTTAGAGGTATTTCATGTCACAATGGTTGCTGTCATTTGAATAAACTGGAGCTGGATGTCATTCAGCAGCTTGTGTGCTCATTTTTTTAAAACTTATTAGCAATATTTATTTTCACAATCTCTGAAACAGTTGCTCAATAATATCTATTTTTTTTACTTAATTAGTCGGATTGAACTGTCTTCTAAAAGGCTGCTGTTGAATCATGATGGATCAGGGTCCTGCCTCATAAATATTTTCACATATACTTTGATTAAACACCAGAAATTAACATCAACCACCCACCTAAGCCAATACTTAATGCCACTGATAATTAAAACACTTACCATATAAATTGCTTTTACAGTTTTATTAAGAATCACAACCCAGTGACATTTTTGCACAAATTAAGTGCTAACGGCAACACCAGCTACCTAAGCAGGTAATTTGCTGTAAAACTTAATAGCAAAATCGATAAAATAGTCCAGTGCATATAACAGTACACTGCAATAAATATGTTTAGAACTACTTATATATTGTCCTCTATGGATTCTTGTTTTTTTTTTTTTATGTAACAGTTTCAACACTCAGCCTTTGTGTTTGGAAAAGTGACCCAAAAGAGACACATTTAAAATAGTGATTTGTTTTACACAGTAAGTAACTGTAATCGGACAAGTAGAGGGAGCAATTTTATCTACTGCAATGATGGACCAAAGGGGCAGCCAATGGTGGTCTTGGCAACCATAAATTAATCTTTGGCCACCCTACTGTCCACCCCAATCATTTGAGGACACTATAATTTGAGCAAAATTTAAAACTAAAAAACTGTTTCGTCAAATTATGAAAGTGGCTGGTTTAGATAAACATCCTGACTATCCTCTTAGTGTATAGTCTTAGAATGTATTGTGAGGAGCTTTCAAGTCTCAAGTTTCAAGTCAGTGGCTGAGACTGAGCAGTACTGGAGAAGGTAGCTGGTTCATTTGTGCTGCTAGACATTCATGGAAAGCAGTTTCTTTACCAGTAGATGTGGATCATGCCAACACAATCTGTTCATTCTTGAGACTTGGATATCTCCCACTGTGATGAGTAGCTACTAGCTCTTGGAGATCACTGTGTTTAGATCATAGAGTACACTGCACTTAAGTAGATTGGTTACCTTTCTTATGTCTAGATTCAGTCACACAACAAAATGGAAGTCAGCACGTTGCTTATTTTTCAAGAAATCCAGCTCATGAGGTTTAAATATTTACATGTACAGTACATATATGACAGCAGCCATCTTAGACTTTGACTTGGCAAACACATTTTTGATGGACTTTGTTCACACCAAAATGCAGACACACCAAATATGAAATCTAAACATTGCTTATTTTTGAAGTTATCCAACTTACAAGGTTAACAAACAGATATGGTAACAGCCATCTTGGATTTTGATGTGGTAACCCAAAGTAGCCTTTCTTAGACTTGGGTGTAGCCACAACCCAAAATGGAAGTCGGTATCTCATTTATTTTTCAAGTTATCATACTCGCAACATGCATGGATGGACAGACAGATAGACAGATGGATGGACGAACGGACGGACGGAGGGTAGGGATGCACGATATTGGATTTTTGGCCGATGTCCGATATGCCGATATGTTGAAACTTATTTGGCCGATAACTGATACCAATATTTTTTTCCCCTAGATCTACTTACAGAGACTAACTACATAGCTTTCTCTGCTGTGGAATTAAAATACTACATTATTCTGCATGATCTTTGTCAGTTTGGCCTGCTACAAAATGCAGATGCCAAAAGGGGGGCTGAAAAGGATGCAACACTTCAACTTGGATTATGTTTAATGTCAAATTTATTCATGACATTTACTCTCTAACACAGTGACAACACTCGAACAGTGCAAATTTTTAATTTTTCACAAATCTAAACTCAACCTGTTCACAAGTGACACGTGTTAAGCGCATAAGTACTTTGTAGTAGTGCATTACTAGATACTTGACAGTTTCTTAAATAAAATAATTACTTAAAACAGAAGACTTTTATATCTGTGAGTTATTATGATGGAATGATCCATTTCCAGTATTTAACATTATTGCTAATATCGGCCGATACTGATACCATGCCGATAATATCATGCATCCCTAGCGGAGGGTATTTACATTTACCCCTCCTCACTATGCAATGAGGGACAATAAAGGCAACATACCGATAATATTTGATGAAATAATATAAACTTGTGATTTCCAATGTGAACTAGGTTGAACAGTTTAGAACAGTTTAAATTGAACTCAGATTTATGTTGTTTTATTTTAGAACTAGGTAAATTATTTAAATGTTTATGCATAAAAGATTTATTTGCATCTCCCCTTGTTAATATATGTTGACAGGTCTTCAATGGGTGTGCTGCTGAAACATACAAGTCTCAGATATTAAAGTATTATATAGTTATCTTGTGCTTCTGTATTTACACTCAGTACACAAGCAAAGTTTTTTTTTTTTTTTGGCCAATTCACTATGTTTAATGAAAGAGCTCCACTTCAGTACTTTAACATTTCTATTCTTAGCTTCACCACAATATTTTTTTTTACCAGCAACACGGTTCTTATTAAGTTTAAAAAAACCATTTGCTTACATTAAATGACATATGTTTCACATGGGGCAGCACAGTGGCTCAGTTGGCAGAGATGTGGCCTCTCAGCAAAAAGATCATTGATTGCAGTTTGGATGTTCTCTCTGTGCATGTGTGAGTTTTTGCCCGGTACTCCGGTTTCCTCCCACAGACCAAAAACGTGCATGTTAGGTTGATTGATAACTCTAAACTGTCTCTAGGTGTGAATGAGAGAGTGAATGGTTGTTTGTCTCGTTTGTTTCTGTATCCCTGTGATGGACTGGAGACCTGTCTGGGGTGTCTCCCACCTCTCGCTCAGTGACTGCTGGATATGGAAACCAGTGGCCCCCATGACCCAAAAAAGAAGAAGCGGGTAAAGATAATGGATGGATGGATGTTTTACATGTTGACCTTCTGAAGGGATACATTTAAGAGCTTTTATTTTGGTATAAGAAATAGTTCCTAGACATAATTAATCAAAAATACGAATTGCAGATTTTCACCAGTAAACATGTATTAATTGGTGCTAGATTTTTCAAATGCATTTCAATACTTCTTGCAGCAACAATATGTTCACAACATAGTAAAATATTTAATCCCATGGTATCTTTAAAACTGAATAGCTCACACAAGAACAGTCAAGGTGAATTAAGACAACAACTGGCTTTTAGACTAATCCAACATTTTTCAGTCAGGTCATCTGGACAGTTTATTTTTTGTGCTGAAACGAAGAGGGCCGGCAATGGAGGAGGGGGCGTACCAAAGAAACCATCTTAGCACCAACAAAACTGGTTTGTTCCACTTTGGAGTAAGCTGTTGGGGGAAGAATCAGTTTTGTGTTGTGTGTTTCCTTGACTAATGAAGCCTTCCGGATCGAAGGTGAAACGTTTCAGCACCAAAAAAAAGAAACTGTCCAGATGACCTGACTGAAAAATGTTGGCTTGTATACCTGGATTATTGAACTTGGACTTTGTTCTTTTAGACTAATATTCTTCATTCAAAAACTGGGTTGTGAAACCTAAGCTTTTAGTTGCTGATATAATCCGATTTGAGTTAAAATAAGAAAAACTAATCTGAACTATAACAGCAGGTATTGACATTAACAAGTACTATGGTAAAAAAAAAAAAATCTGGTAAATCGTGATTCTTCAGGGAAAAAAAAACAAGGAAACGTTTGCACAAAGTTCTGGTCCATTTTTCTTTAAATATCACTAAGAAGCTTGAGTAAACACTAAATTGCCTTTTTATAATTAAATAATATGACACTTTTAATTAATTCATAATTCTGCAGAATTGAGTCTTAAATGTAAAGAGACACAGCTGGAGAAAACACTGATTCAGATCAGAGGATCAAATAAAAGCACACACCTGTAACACGGACGTGCCAATCATGGAGTTCTCTGACAGGACAGCAGAGTACAAGGCGTTCTGAAACAGTGGAGGGTTGTCATTCACATCCAGAATCACAATGTCTACGTCAACCTCTGACTTTGCCCCGGTCAAGGTGTCAGTGGCCTTCACTGTTAAATGATAGTACTGCGTCGTCTCGTAGTCCAATGGATAAATCACAATGATGATTCCTGTATCAAAGCCGATGTCAAACTGAAGGAAAGGGTCCCCATCCGTGATGGTGAAGATGATGTCCTGGCCTTCAGGACTGCTTGCATTGATGCAGAGGACAGACGTGGATACAGCCAAGTCCTCTCTAACTGTGACTCCATAGAACGGCTTGTCAAACACAGGCATTGCTTTGTTTACTACTGTAACAGGCAGCTCTATCTCACTAGACAGACAAGGGAAGCCACTATCAGTGGCCACCAGAACCAGCTTGAATTCTGCATTAGATAAGTCTGCTTCGAAAGCTCTTGTTAACATCAGTTCTCCTGTCATGGTATTGACCTGTATAAAATAAATAAATAAATAATCCACATTTCAGCATTAATGCACACTAGTGCATTGACATTTATTCTCAAAATTTCTAAACGTGACATATAAAATTCTAGCAAATGTAATTTTAAATAGGATAGATAAAGTTATTACCTCAAAATTCTTGTGCTGTGATTTCAGGCGGTAAGAAACTTCTCCATTTAGGCCAAAATCCTTGTCAATGGCAGAGACCATGAAAATTACTGATCCTGGTTCTGCTTCCACCTGTACTGCAGCATAGTAGGGGAGGTTCACAAACTGTGGAGCATTGTCATTGACATCGTCTACCTGAAAAATAAATATGTAAAAGAAAAATGTAATTTGATCACTGTAAAATCTAAAAGAAATAAGTTTATTCATGGAGCAAAGGAAATCAGATTAAAGTGATGGTTCAGATTTTATGAGGTTGGTTTCTGAAGAAAAACTTTGGACAAGATTTTTTTTTCTGCATGTCTTTGAAAACATTGCTTTGGAAATATTCAAATTTTACTGACTATATTTATTAGAGCTGCAGCAGTACAGGAAACTCAACATCAAACACAAATAAAAAAAATCTTGTTACGCCAGGGTCATAGTGAATTTTAGATACTGACAGGACTTTAACAGTGATTTCTTCAAGGTTGACAATGATTCAGCCTCAAAGAAAATAGCTTGTGACTTTTGTCAAAATCACCAGAAGGTAAAAATAGGAGCTTCTGGAGTCAAATATGGCTTATTTGTGCTGCATAACCAAAAAATAAACAAAATTCACTCACAAACAGCCATTTTTACTCTGTCCATACCCACCTGCACTTGCACAGTCACCCTTGCCACTCTCAGTATCTCATCTTCTCTGCTGACTTCCACTACCAGCTCGTAGCTTCCCTTCTCCTCACGATCAAAAGGCACACCAGTAGTGAACACCGCCCCACTGGTAGGCCGAATGGTGAAGCATCGTCCGGGATTTAGCAGAGTGTACTTCAGTGGGTCATTGAGGCGGTGGCCGACTGTGTTTACAACAGTCACTAAGGTGACATTGGATACATTCTCTGAGATGGAGGCAGAATACACCGGGAGGGTGAAGCTAAGTCCACTGTCTATAGCTTCTCTTACAAGCACTGTGATCGATGCAATGCTGGAAAAACGTCCATCCCAAACCTTAAGCACACATATTATTATGTATTATTATATAGTATTATACATAGCAGATAAATTAAAATTTGAAAGTCATGCAAAATGTATGGAAATAAATACACTATATGGACAAAAGACCATATAGTGGTGGTGCTCCTCACATTGGGCCCACAAAAATCAGAGAAGGCAAACCTGTGATCGAGGTTTGAATCCCCTGACTCTTACATCAAAATATGGGTGGGAAAAGTGAAACACCAACACCTGTCTCTAACCTCATTTCCTCCAACCTCATATGCCCCACTGTGGACCCACACAAGCCTCCACCCTCATTTGCCCCATTGTGGGACCTTGAGCAAGACCCATAACACCCCCTGCTGATCCATGGGCATCTTGGATGGCAGCCCTCTGCTTCACGCATGGGCTGTAGTAGCACTGGTGTTGTTTCAGCAAGGGCATACAGTGTAAAAATAATTGCCATGTCTTTATGTGAGTTTGCTTGTTGTAGCGACCCCTGAGAAAGGGAGGAGCCAAAAGAAGAAAAAAAAAGGGCATATATTTGATCACAACTGCTCACTATCAGGGACTATAAGTTTTTTGGAAAGCTATAGACAAAAATTTAGAATGATTTTGTGGGAAGTGCCTGTTCTGTTCGTGGAACATTTGCAAACTCTTCTTTTGACTTTCCCTTTGCAGGGGTCGCCACCTCATATCATCCTCCTCCATCTCACTCTGTCCTCTGCGTCCTCTGTCTTCACTACTACTTTGCCTATGTCCTCTATAACTTAATCCATATATCTCCTCTTAGGTCTTCCTCTTTGTCTTTTTCCTGGCAGCTGCATTTCTAACATCCTTCTACCAAAATACCCACTGTGCCTCCTCTGAACATGCCCAAACTGGCTCGGTCTGGTCTCTCTTTTATCTCCCAGTTGTTCAACCTGTGCTGTACCTCTGGTGATCTCATTCCTAATCTTATCCATCCTTGTCACTCCTAAGGAGAACCTCAACATCTTCATCGCTTCCACTTCCAGTTATTTATCCTGTCTTCTTGTCAGTGCCACTGTCTATAAACCATACAACAAAGCTGGTTTCACCGTTGCCTTATAAACCTTTCCTTTGATATTTGCTGTCAGCCTTTAGTCACAAATCACTCCTGAAACTGTTCTCTATTCACTCCATTCTGCCTGGACTTTCTTCTTTACCTATTTACCACATTCCCCTTTTTCCTGGACAGTTGACCCAAAGTCCTACACCTTTGTAATGTTTGCTCCTTGTAGCCTCACTGCTCCACCTGCCTCCTTCTGATTCACACACAAGAACTCTGTATTATTACAGCTGACTTTCATTCATTTTCTTAGAAATTCATACATCCACCTGGTCTCTTCCATCTGTTTTCCATCTGTTTTCACCACAGATCTCAGTGTAATCTGCAAACACCATAGTCCAGGGGGGTTCCTGCCTGACCTCATCTGTTTCACTGTACATCACCAAAGCAAACAAAAAGTGTCTCAAAGCTGATCCTTGATGCAATCCCACCACCACCTTGAAGCTATCTATCACTCCTACAGCACATCTCACCACTGTCCTGCTGTCCTCGTAAATGCCCTGTACTCATCTGATATACTTTTCTGCCACTCCAGATTTCCTGATACAACACAACTTCTTCTCCATCTGCACCCTGTCATATGCTTTTTTTGAGTCACAAATACACAATGTTTTTTTAACCCTCTCTGTACTTCTCCATTAGCATCCTAAAGCAAATATGGCATCTGTGGTGCTCTTTCTTGACATGAAACCATACTACTGCTCACAAATAATCACACCATGTCTGTTTAGCTTCCATAACTCTCTCCCAAATCTTCATCTTCATCTTCATCTTGTGTGGCTCATCAACTTATTTTCCTTGTGGTTGCTAAAACTCTGTACATGACCCTTGTTCTTAAAAATGGGCACCAGCACACTTCTGCATCCTCCAGGGATTTTTTTTTTTTCCACTCACGCATTTATGAAATCAAGCACTGATATTGAATGGGAAAATCTGACTCTCAATCTTGATTCTAGTTAATCCCAAACCAATCAAATTATTTCATGCCAAAATCATCAGTCTGTAGTCTTTCCTTTGTGAACAGAGGCATAGTCATGTTGAAAAAGAAAAAAGGCCTCATCCAGTGTGTTGCCAGAAAGCTGGAAACATTATCCAAACTGTTTTGATACGCTGATAATGGAGATAAATGGCTTAGCCTATACTTTAAGCTTGACTTAGACACTCAAGTTCAACAGTTAACAGTTGTGGCCAAACACTCTGAACCATACAGTATTATGTCTGAGCAAAGTTTTACAGTTAACCAAATAGCCTCCTTGTAAAACCATTGTTATGGAAGAAGAAGAATGGGTTTTATTAAGAACAATAACTTACCTTGACATTAAAGTAATAACGATCTTTACTGAGGTTTTGATTGGTGACAGTCACAAGCCCAGAATAGCGCTCCACAGTGAAATATTCCTGATTCGTATCAACCAGAGAATAAGCTAGCTGGGGAGTGATGGGCTTTGTTTCATCAGTGTACAAATCTGGATCCGAAGCCTCAACCCTGAGGACCTCGACTCCCATGTAGGTAGGCAGCAAAAGGACTGTTTCGTAAACATCCTGGGAGAACTTTGGGGGGGAGTCATTGATGTTAATCACCTAAGACAAGGTGTATACAGAAATAAATCATGTCTAAATTAACATCTGAATAAATAAAAGGCAGTCAAAAATTTGTTAGATAGCAATAGCTAATTAATGTCATTTACTTGCCTTTATAATCACCTCTGCTGGACTTTCAGCACTCTTAGAAGGATGGCCGCTGTCTCGAACTTGAACCCGAAAGAAGAACTCTGAGAAGGTTTCATAGTCCAAACTATCAATTGTTCTACAGACCAAACAAATATACCCAAAAAAACAGCAGAATCAGATGTGTGATGTAACTGGTCTGATTTCTATAAAGTGTCAGCACCCACCGAATTGATCCAGTCCCAGAATCCACACTGAAAAACATACGAGCGGTCTCATCTATGATCTGAAACACTAAAAGGGCATTGTGATTGTGGTCCTTATCAGTTGCCTGGATGACTAAAGGGTTACCATCCTCTCCCAGAACCACACTGTTGACCGGAGCAGCTTCACTGACTCTGCCCACATATCTGGGATGGCATAAGGGGTAAACATTAAAAAAGATTAAAATCCATCCATACTGTTAATATTGTTAGTTTTTAACAGAGCTCTCGAAAACAGCATGTGAAGATCAAGTCAGAATGAAAGCCCATACAAATGTATTTGATATTCAGCTGTGTCAAACTTTGATACCTTATTTGTCGAAATTCTGGTTGGTTGTCATTGACATCCACCACTTGGATGATGACAGTAGTACTGGCCTCCACTCCAGTCATGCTCAGGGCACGCACCATGAGAAAATGAGATGGTATTAGCTATCAGAACAAAGAAATTCAATCAATTTTCAAACACCAGCAAGGTAATTAAAGTTAAATGGCAGATAAATAGTTAATTACCTTAATAGCATTTGTTACATCATTATATTTTTCCACTAATCACTGCTCTAAATCCCCCTCACAACTCAGAATCCAAAATCTCAACCCACCAATTATGGCACTGGAATAGTCAAGTCCAATTGATTTTCTCAAAATGGCTTTTTCTGTAGTTAAAAATAATGTATCATTTCAAGATTGTTGCTCCATTTTGTCTAGCAATTTGACATCTCATACAAATACTTGTGAGATATCTTGTGAACCCAAACAGATGTTTTAGATGAGCAAACCTAAAACCCAAACACAAAAAAGATCAACAAACCTCAAAGTCAAGCAGTTTGCGAGTGGTGATCACACCGGTATAGTGGTTTATAGAAAAACGGTTCTCCTCGTTTCCTCTGATTATGTCATAAATGAGCGGAGAAGAACTGAGGGCATGAACAGTGATCAGATGTGTTCCAATTTTGCTGTTCTCCACTATCTGAAAACAAAACAACAACAAAAAAACAAATCAGAACACAGAAAATAGCGTCAATCAGTTTTTTGCATAAATTATTTTAGAATTTTTTTCTTATATATTGACCAAGTCATTTGCCATCCATCTTTACGTATCCCTTTCAAGCTAGTCTTTAGTCAATCAATCATTCCTTTCTACCCTTCTTCACTCCACCCACAAATCAATGGTTTTATTTAGCTGTCTCTGTTTTTACCTCAGCCTGATACTCCTTCTGAGAGAACTTGGGTTTGGAGAATTCAGAAAGTATCAAGGAAATCCGAACTGAAGCCGTGGCCATTAATGGAGGGAATCCACTGTCTGTGGCACGCAGGGTGAGGGTGTAGAAACCCAACGAGGTGAGGTCCAGGTCCTTTGCAATAAAGATAAGGCCTGTGGCATTATCAACGGCAAACACCCCCCCAGTGTTACCTGATGTAGACAAAAGGTGCAGAAAAAAAAAACTTTCTAAATCCAATAAAATACTAAATTTATTGACACCAAATTAAAATGTACCAAAAATAAGAAGTATTTTTAGGTTATCTCATACCTGCTTCAATAGTATATGTGAGTTGACCATTCACCCCGTTGTCTTTGTCCAGGGCTGTAACCTGCAGCACAGAAGTACCCACAGAAAAAGTCTCATAGGCTATAGCATCATATATGGTGCTCGTAAAATAAGGGATGTTATCATTGGTGTCCTCCACTGCCACCAGGATACGAGCCAGGTCACGGTTAAATGGAAACTCCTGATCCTTAACCTGGAGAAAGGAATTGAAAAATGAAAATGTATGAAGTTCTAAGAGGAAACGTAAACAAAATCAGCTTAAAGCAGATACTGAGAGCCATTGTTTAATACAGAGTACAGGGACATAAACAGTTAGACTCAGCATAGAGATAATAAAGTTCTCCTTTATCTCTCTACTTACCATAATGGTGAGAATGTGTTGTGTCCTGGCTTCGTAGTCTAGCCTGTCTGTGGAGTAAAAAACTCCTGTACCTGGATTGACCCTAAACAGTCTCATACTTGTTGGGTCAACGCTTCCATAAATGGAGAAGCTCAAACGAGAACGCTCATCCATGTCTGATGCTCTGAGCCGCAGAAGCTCCACATCAGCTGGTGCGTCCTCAGAAACACTGATGTCGTACACCGGCTGTGAGAAGACTGGAGGGTTGTCATTGCTGTCTTGGACTCGAATGAATACCTTAATCAAACAGTGGGGAACAGGAAAAATGTCTAAGACATCACAGTAAGCACAAATTATGATAGTGGACTTTGCTTACTATCGCTGAAAATTAGAGTTGCTGATAAGATTGTTGAGTAAAGTTCCATAATTGTATTTCTTTGTTCTTTTTTTACTGTCAACAGAAGCAACAGACTATTCACGACATTTACAATGAACTTTGTAAAATGAAATATAGGGAACTTCTTTGAAATATCATAGCATTTTTGCTAATGATTGAGTATTACTTAAATCTTTTTAAGTGGAGTTCTGTGAATATGTTTAAACTAAAACTGGTATATTTTGTATATAGTTCCTAGGACAACCTCAGTTTAGAAAAAAAAAAACTTTATTCCTTTGGAGATTGACAAGTTAGTTAGATTACAACTAGTCTGAGCTCGTCTGAGTGGGTACAAGACCAAAATGGATTGTTGCTGACAAAACAACTAAAATCTTGACAATATCTTAATACTTCATGCAAACATTGCTTTGTTTGTTTTTGTTGGTAGCAGTTTGGTCTTGGCCTCTCTCACCATTAGATAGCAAGCAATCTAATCAGTAATAAACTCTACATCTTCAAACTGAGGCTGATCAAAATACTATCAACAACACGAAAGTTATTAACAAACCTGGTCATAGATTTCCACTTTTTCACATCTACCTACTTTTTCAAAGTCTGATTGATTTTTACAATAACTGATCTGATGCTTTAAGGTACTCTGCATTATTCCATTTAGCTACTAGTGTGAACGTTTTTCTTACAAGAATGACCAAGTAGCATAGCCAATAAAACAAGCCCAAGTAGTGCCAAAAACAGAATATTTCATTTCAGAGTATGGAAAATAAAATAATAAAATCACAAAGAGAAGAGCACCTCTACGGGCACAAAATCTGGTCATAAATATTTTGTGCTTGCAAATCAGTTTTGCAACCGACAATAATTTTAGTTAGTTCCACTAAACCATGATGTAATGCTATTCCAGGACTTACAACGCGTAACCACCTACTCCACACAATTTGTGCTCATATGAATGCGTTGGAAGGTAAGTGGAAGTGTGTCGGTGGTAAAACTACTGTACAAATAAAAAACTTACATACCTGTGTTGTGGCAAAATTGGTCCCATCTGTCACCTGTACTGTCATGTTGTACACCGATTGAACTTCTGCATCCATGGACTTGGCCACAACAATAGTCCCCACCCCGACTTGGAGGTCAAACTGCATTTCAAAACTCCCTGATGGCATACACATGGCATGGACACACATATGCAGAGTGTGAGTCATTTGCATTGAATCTGAGAGCAAAACTCAGGTGTGCTAAGGTAATACTGTGTAATAGTTTTGGTCAGGCACCGACATCTGGCGCTGGAGGGCCTGTGAACTCAAATGAACTGAAATGTAATGTGAATGTAGTAGCAAACCCACTTGGCAGCACATGAGCTGTTAATAGCCGTACAAACATCTGCCTTATCAGTCCAAAACACAACCCATCAGAGAGATCGGAAAGTAGCAACTGGGTCTTTTCCACGGGCCGTGAACGAACAGTTTAGAAAGCTTAATATTTGATTAAAGTGAGTCAGAGGAGTGATATGTGTTCAGAATTCAGTGCCATCCTTCAATTTATCCTTGCCTCTCTCCTGAGATCTCTGGGAGCTTGAGCTCTCCTTGGCATATGAATACTGAGTGGCAATTTTTCACAGAATCTCTGATGCGTGTTGAGTGGGAGTAAACCACTCAGACTTACTATTTTTTTGTTTTATTCTATTCTAGGGGAGTGAGTGGTGAGTTGGTCTATAATACACTATGAGGGATCAATTTCACAACATTTTGGAAAAACTGAAGTCCCAGCATGTAATCCCCAAGCGGTGTTTTAAGGAGACCTGATTATACCTCCCTTTTGTTTTGCTAGCATCTGTCTCTATTAAATTTATACAGTTCACAATCTCAGTAAATGAGATACTGTGGAAACTTCTGTCTAATGGCTATGGCATTCAATTACAGTAATGAGTGTGTACTGTTTGTTTTGTTTCACATTTTGCTCTGTAGTCAATAAATATTTGTCTTTTTTTAAACAACAGCCTTGATTGCTGTAGCGACCTTACGTCCCAAAAGGGACAAAGAAGACTAAGCTAAGCTTGATTGCTGTCAGAACACAATGAAATGAACAAGCATGAATAACTTGTAAGTATGATGAGGAGTTTCTAATTGGTTATAATGTTAAATAGGGTTTTGCATAGATCCATTGATTGTTCAGTATGGGGTGACATTTGTAAAGTTATGCAGTCAAAAATTAACAGCAATATTCTAGTTTAATTAACCTTTCATAAGAAAAAAAGTTTTTATTTTCAAAGTCATAGTTTCACCATGTTATTCATACATTTATATATGTCATAGTTCCCAACTAGATATTTAATTTGCAAGCTAAATATTTAGTTTATAATCTAAATCCTTAACTTGCAAGGTAAATATTTAGTTAGTAAATTAAATATTTAGGTGTAAATTAAATATTTAATTTCCAAGCTAGATATTTATTTTCAAAACTAATTATTTAATTCCCAAACATTTAATTTCTAAGCTAAACATTTAATTTCCCAAATAAATATTTAATTTTCTAACTAAATATTTAACTCTGACCTGAATATTTAGCTTGCAAGTTAAATATTTAGATCAGAGTTAAATATTTAGTTAGCAAATTAAATGTTTAGTTTGGAAATTAAATATTTAGCTTGGACAATAAATATTTGGTTTTGAAATTAAATGTTTAGTTTTGAAAATAAATATTTAGCTTGGAAATGTAATGACTTCGGAAAAAGCGGAAGTTAATGGATGGATGGATGGATGGATGAATTTACACCTAAATATTTAGTTTGCTAAATATTTAACTTGCAAGTTAAGTATTTAGTTTGTAAACTAAATATTTAGCTTGTAAATTAAACATTTAGTTGGGAATTATGACATTTAGAAATATATGAATAAAATGGTGAAAATATGACTGAAAAAAAACATTTTTTTCTTATGAAAGGCTAAATGACATGCCATAGTTCAGTTTTATATTTACTCAATCAAACATGAGTGAACAAAAATAAAAATGAAAACCTACTTATACAATGAAACTAGCAATTCTTAAAGGAATGCATTTTACACACTGCATTGTGTGTCTGTATTTAAAAGCATGCATGACTTGTTAGCATTAAGAGCAGGCGATACGGATGATTGTCTGCTACTTCAACACAACATTTTAGCTCAATATCTGTAAAATTTAATGAGCACAGCTACTGGTATTTATTTGTTTGCTAGGGTCCTTTCACTGAGTCTACAGACTTGAATCAAGTTGACTTCAAGAGTTTTAGTTGTGCATGCATATACCCGTATGTTCGTTGCTTTCTGAGAGATTCATAAACGTCTTTGTATTAGTTCATGGGCTATTATGCTAACAAGCATATAAGATTGAGTCCAACACTTAATGCCAAAGTTTTAAAATGAAGATCTAGTGCAATCATTTGAATGTGTGGAGGATAGCTCACAGCTATCCATACAAATCTATAGCAAGACAGCTGTAAAAATGACTGAATTGATTTCATTGTTGTGTTTTTGTTTGTTTGTTTCATCTAACCAGACAAAATTCATTAAGATCACAGATCTCTTTTCAAGGGAGGCCTGAAGACATATTGCATATTTTTGGACAGTAGACAGAAAATGGAGACACCCACCACCCCCCCCCCCCCCCCCCCCCCACCACCACCCCAAAAAAAGAAAGCTAACATAAGTTTGGAAAACCTGCAGGCTCAACCTGGGGGATTGAGCCCAGGCCTTTCTTCCTGCGAGGCAACAGGGCTAACCACTAAGCCATCATGCTGCCAGCTAAAGGTTGATTAGCTGTAAATGCCAACTTGGAATGTATTGACTTCAAAAGCAATTTTACATCTAACAAGTATTTTAGGAGAGTTTCAATCAAATCTTCCCACTGGTTCTTGAGATATTTTGCTAACAGACCAAACAAACATGCACACCTAAACACAGGACACATACAGATTGCCCCAGGTTTCAAGGAAGTGGACGATAAGAATGCTAAAATCTCTTCGGACAGTATAAATGCTTTATTTGCTTTAGAACAAAACAGAACTGAACGTCCCCCTGTCTATTTTTCAACAAGTTTCTGCTTTTGGTGTCAAACAACTTCTAAAGAACAACTCTTTTAACTAAGTTTGATATAAATATCCATATGAATGAAAATTATTCAAAACAGCAGGGTTTCCAACCAATTTAGGTGAAGACAGGATAATTTTTTCTAAGATTGTTAGAGTTGACGATCTGAAAAAATAATGTACATAAAGACTCTATTGTCACATTAGATTTGATATATCTGCTATTTTACTGTGAAGTTATTGATTATAGTTTATTCAGAGTTTATCTGAAGACTGTTGCAGCACCTTTGAATTTAATCAGCTGGCTTTGTTGCACTGACCTCAAAACTTATAGAAGCATTTTGTAAAATACCTTTTGATCAGCAGAGATGTCATGGAAGTGTGAAGGATTATCATTGCATCACAACACATCCATACTAAATTTCCAAAGCGGCAGACTTTCAGCTGAACTAATGAAATAAGCCTGTCCTGTCTGGAGCGAGAGAAAACAAACTGGTGCTGTTTGTGTGCAGCTGGGTGAGATTTTCAAACTCACATCAATCAACACTGCCTTCAGCTAAAGGAGGTTGGTGTCTTGTGCTTCCTGAATTTTTGAACTCCTTCAAACCTGGGGGCATTTCAAGTGGAGCTACAGTGAAATTAACTTTGACCAGACCTGTGTCAAGAGAACAGTTTCTTCCACATTCATTCTGGGGAATGTAGAACATTTCTCTGGCAAGACGTCCACCTTAAACAGAAGGAGAATGAAAAGAGATTATTAATATTTATGAATTGTGGTCATTTGTTGTAATCAGCTATTTGAATTATTCACATGCAGTGTTTCAAAGTTAAACTTCTGACATTATTCAAATGTATGTGTTCTTAAGTAATGTAAATGGACTTCGCATAAAAATATACCAGCACAGTGTAGGTGATGGGTGGATAAAAATGTTATTTTAAATATATTGTGAAGCCTTTGTATATATTCAAATATAATGCAACTGACATTGTTCTGCAAAGCACATGACAAAATCCATAACATACTTTTTTCCTAAATGACCTGAGGTATCATGTACAATCAGTAATACCTATACAAAAATGTTTTGTTGGCTTTATGATGAATATTATTAGTAAGAATGAGTAATGAACTATTAAAATCAAATAAGCATATAGACATAGGCCTGTCACGATAATACATTTTGCTGGGCGATTGATTGTCTCAGAAATTACTACGATAAACCCAACATTTTTCAGGTCATCTGGACAGTTTCTTTTTTTGTGCTGAAATGTTTCGCCTTTGATCCACAAGGCTTCATCAGTCAAGGAAACACACAACACAAAACTGATTCTTCCCCCAACAGCTTACTCTAAAGTGGAACAAACCAGTTTTGTTGGTGCTAAGATGGTCTAGACAGTTTCTTCCGGATCGAAGGCGAAACATTTCAGCACAAAAAAAGAAACTGTCTAGATGACCTGACTGAAAAATGTTGGATTGTATACCTGGATTACTGAGCATGGACTTTGTTGTTTTCAACCAGTTTGGCACGACTGTCAACAAGGAAGAGGGCCAGCAATGGAGGAGGGGGCGTGGCAAAGACACCATCTTAGCACCAACATAACTGTTTTGTTCTACTTTGGAGTAAGCTGTTGGGGGAAGAATCAGTTTTGTGTTGTGTGTTTCCTTGACTGATGAAGCCTTGTGGATCGAAGGTGAAACATTTCAGCACAAAAAAGAAACTGTCCAGATGACCTGACTGAAAAATGTTGGAATGTATACCTGGATTATTGAGCATGGACTTTGTTATTGCGATAAACAATAATATTGTTTGAAATTTGACAATAGTAATTATTGTCAAAGTTTAGAAGAAATTTTGGTTAATTTGTTTTGTGTAGAGTACATTTGTTTGACCACCGGATGGCAGTATAAGACTGTTTGAACCGAAGGATGGATAGTGAGGGAGCGAGAAGCGTATCTCTATAAGAAAAATGGGAGGGAGGCCCCTTGACATGACATGGGCTGTCTCTCCTTCCTTTTTTTTTTTTTGGTTCTCAAAATGGAAGACGCTCGGTGTGGTTTGATCTCTTTAGCATAGCGTTTTTCACACAAAGCTTTTAATAAAAAATCAGTAAACAAGTTCTCAGCTTCTTTTTGCAGATAAAAACAACTTTTTATACGAAGGCACAGGTTTCATCCATGAATTTTGGAGCTTCGACAAGACGGAGTTTTTTCCCGAGGTCGGCCTGTTAGCTTAGCTTGTAGTTTAGCTTATCAGCTTAGCCGCGTTTAACAATCCAAAAATGCGATTTTGGACGGTTAAAATGGATTTTAAAGAGACAAGAGAAAGGGAGGAGTCAGTGAAGAGCACCAGAGTTGAGTTTTTTGTCATCCAGTGTCTTCAGTAGAAAGAGAGAGACACAAAGAAGCAATAAAGCTGATAAATGAAAATGAAGTTGATCATTTTCATTTATCATGCGATTAATTGATTTATTGTTTATTGCAACAGGCCTATGTAAAGATCCAATACTCTAAACAGCATGACAATATTTTGGTAAATGGACTGTACTTATATAGCACCTTTCTATCTTGTCAAGATACTCAAAGCGCTTTACAACACAATCTGTGCCCTCATTTACCTCCACACACACATTCATACAGCACTCTACAATATCTCTACAAAGCTAATCAAACAAATCATTCTAAAGAGACTAATAAATGCTTTAGATCACATTCATACACCAATGGGACACATCTGAGGCAATAAGGGGTTCAGTGTCTTGCCCAGGGACACTTCGGCATGTGACTGCTGGTGGAATCAAACCCTCAACTCTCTCATTGGAGGATGACTGCGCTTACCACTCAGTCACAGCTGCCCCTGGTTGTAAAAAGATTTGCTGTATTTTATTTTATTTTATTTTATTCCTAAAGCTAAAGAAACCTGAAAACTTAATTTTGTTGTTTATTTGACACCTTGGTTTTGGCCAGGCGAACAATAGAAAACTAAGATATGTCACTTTTCTTTGTGTCCAACTAAATTATTATGTTGCTCAAACTGCTAAGGAAGCAAAATGAAACCCCCTGAGATGGCTAGCACTGGTTTATCCCAGACACACAGGCCCAGAATGTCAAGCAATTTATCCTGAAATAGGAGCATGAACCTTCACTATAAACAATCAATATGTCCTGTGTGCTTTGTAATAAAACTTTTTTTTCTGCACAAGAAAACTCAAAAACATTTCTATCCGTATTGATAGTTTAGTTTTCCATGTTGTTACGTACCGACAATACTGAACCAGACAGTTGTGCTGGATTGGCTGAGGGCCACCACGCCCACTGGCTGAGCCACAGCAGTCGACTCTGAAACTGAGAAATTGTAGTACCGCTGGGTGAAGAGAAGGGGGACTTGCGAGGGGACAGGTTTACGAATCCATTGGACGTAGAGTTTGACTGCGGCCCATAGTGGCGGATTACCACTATCCTCTGCTTTTATCTATGACAAAACGTTATGAAAGATAATTTTTCAAACACAAATTGAAACCCAAAGACATTTCAAATGTAAAAGAGCTACACTTTTCACAGTGAGGGCAAACAAACTATGCTTTAAAGCTTTTAAAGTTTCTTCTTGGTAATTTTTCTACTTTTTAAATTTACCTAATAATTATACTGTTGAACAAAATTACTGTAATTTCCAGACTATAAGCCTCGACTTTTTTCACACGTTTTCAACACCGCGGCTTATACAATGCTACAGCTAATTTTTTTTTTTTTTCTTTTCTGATGGCCTCCCTTCTCCCCTTAGAGCCATCCTCTCCACACCATTATTATGAAATATTTATTCTAGTGACTATCTAGTGTAGGTTTTTTTTTTTTTTTTTTAATAGGATAGAAAGAAAGAAAAGACAAAGTAAGACTCCAAAATATAAGAAATATACACAAAGAGAGCACACGGCAAAACACCCGGCCACTGTCTGTTCACCTGCAAAGAACATGACAAAACACAGCAACAAAATACATATGTATAAAGAACAAAATATTCATGGCTTTGCAGCAAGTTTCCTTAAATATATATACCCATACCTACGCCTATATACATACATACATACACATGAATATACATTCATATACATATCTATATATCTACATATAAAGCCTACATAAGCATCCCTGCTTCTATTTGTGTGTGGTTGTGAGCATGCATAAGTGTATAAGGCTTCTCTAATAGAACATTTAATAGTAAGTGTGAAGCAGCAGAGACCCGACCCCCAAGACCAGAGGCAGACGAAAAAGGGGGGACCAGAGCCCAAGACCCCAGGAGGGACCCCGACCGCGGAGCCCCCAGGGCCACCCACACAGGACGAACCACTCACCCACCCCACAGAACAGACCACAGGGGAGAACCGGAAGATCCCCACCAGCGACCACATACAGTGACCCCCCGGGGCCAACAGCGACAAACTCATACGCCTCCGTCGGAACCCACCGCACCGATGTAGGTCCAGGTCCGGGCACCGAGGCCCGGGCACCGAGGACTCACACCACCCAGGCCAAGGCCCGACAGGGCCAGAGGACCCGAGCCCCACCAGGCAGACACCAGGCCGAGCCGACACACGCCCAAGCGCCAAGCCCCCGACACCAAGGGCCCCAAGCGCGCCGGCAGGCAAGGGCACACCCCACCAGGGGGCCGCGCGATAGGGGCACGATGCCAAGCACCCCCAGTTGTATCAAAGAGGGGGCAGTCCGAGTCTCGGCCTAACAAATACCCATTCATACACAGACACAATCACACAATCCCAACCTCAGTCTCACATTCACTCACTCAAAGACATACAATAACGATACATTTCATTCTTATTCCCGATACGCACTCTATACCCCCCAGGTCCAAGACATGTACCCGCCCTCTACAGGGGGCAGCCCATGCCCAAACCCAGAAGGTAAACCCATTCGTTCTCGAGTGGAGAAGAGCCAATACCCAAGACCCGGCCCAGGCCATGCCCAGCCGACAGGACACCCCCCCCCCCACCATGAAGAGGACACGCCACCGACCACCCCCACACACCGCCAACAACCAAGCACGCGCCCCCAGCCGACCGCCCGCCAGGCCCCGGCAGCCACCCCGGCCAGCGGGCCAACCATGGCACCCAAGAGCCAAGCTCAGGGGGTCCAAACAACCCCAGGGAGAGCACAGCGCCAGCACCGCCCACGGCAACCCCCCAGACCCCGAACCCCCACATAGTCCTGGTCAACACCCGACGGCCTGCCCTTCTCCCGGACCCCACCCCCGGAATGACAGTCAGGGAACTAGGGGGGAGGAAAAAATAAAAAAATAAAAAATAATAATAAGATCCCGACACATACACCCCCGCCCCTAGATGTGCTGTTGATGTGTGTTGTTGTATAGTGCCATTAAAAAGGAAAGAAGAAGGAGCAAAGGCTGGCATGATGCCAGTTTCCCCTCCACCCCAACTCTCTCCAAACCCTAGTGTCTAAATGCAACTGTTGTAAGTGAGCACAGGCAAAGGGGGTGAGTGTAAGGTCATCCCACCACCCATAGCCATGTGCCCACCTCAAGTTCCTACATGTGAATGTCATGAGGATGTTATGAATGAATTAGCTACAGCTAATTTTTGAAAAAAAAAATGTTTTTTTTTTTGACAGGCTAATGAGCTTTATGCCGCCAAAATATTTAGTCTTGTCACACCCAGGCAAACCCAGCTGCCCACTACATGTCTCAATGGGGAGTGCAGGATCCTCGTGACTCAATGATACTACCTGTATAAATAAAAGTAAAAAAAAATTTGACCAATAAAATTACCGAACAGGTCACAGCGGACCAATGACACTGTTCACTGTTCTCTCCTCCCCACAAGCACAACAAAATATTTGCAGCAAATCAAAATAAGTGTGAATCGTAAATCAAATCACAAATTTGCCTCAAGACGAAAGTGACGTTGAGAGCGACAACGAAAGAGACTGAGGACGTGTGTGCTGAAGTTTTTCTGAGGCTGTTCAATTTTGACACTGAAGAAGACGATTTTGGTGGTTTTAGTGCGCAGGAGGAAGCTGAAGATAGTGTTCAGTGACTTCTTGGTAGGCTATTTATTTATTTATTTATTTATTTATTTATTTACCAGATGTGTTTATAATTATTGATTTCATTTGGAAATCCACTAACTTCTCCTTTAAGCCAAACATCTACAAATCATATCTCGCCTACAAGTCAATCCTCAGTAAATCACAACTTTTCATTTTCATTGTTTTCGGTTAGCAAGGTTAATAAAATGTTAAAAGGTCTTGATTCTAAACTATTCTGAAAAAAAAACACTGGTCAGAAAAAAAAATAATAATAAAATAAAAAACTTTGACTGTATTTCTAACAAAGTAAAGTCAGGTCCTCTGGACGGATTCTTCTTATTTACTGTACGTATTTGTGTATGTTACGTAGGGGGGTGGTGATGCAGAGGTTCGATAAGGTGGGCCTGTGATTGGACGATTGCCGGTTCAAGTCCCGGTACCGACAACATCAAAAATGTGGGTGAGTAGGTGAGGCACCCACACCTGCCCCCACCCTCATTCGTCCCACTCTGGGCCCTTGAGCAAGGCCCTTAACCCCACCATCTGTTCATCCGGGTGTCCTAGATAGCAGCTCTCTGCTCCACACAGAGAGCTGTGGTAGCTCAGTGGTCTGTGGTTGCGTCAGGAAGGGCATCCGTCGTAAAAAAAAAACAACTGCCAAGTCTTCGTGCAACTTAGTTCACTGTGGCGACCCCTGAAGAAGGGAGTAGCCAAAAGAAGAAGAAAAAAAGTTGTGTATGTATATTTAATTAAAAGTAGGTTTTTTTTAGTTTTTCTGTGTAAAGATTTCATGTTATAATGTGAACACCCGTTGCTCACAAGTGTGGCCTACATATGTACAAAAAAAAAAAGTGAATATGGCTTATATTTAGGTGCGCTCAATAGTCTGGAAATTACGGTAGTTAAATGAGCTACATAAAGAGCCTATATACTACTAGTGTTGTGGATGAAAATGTTCAAATGAATGCATTTATGAGAGGCATTAATAGTATTTTTTTCTTCACAAAGCTTATTTACCTGAAGAACTACTACTACTACTACTAATAATAATAATAATAGTAATAATTCAACCTTTCTTTATGCAGGTTAGTCTCATTGAGCCTCGAGGACTCATTTACAAGAGTGACGTGTTTTTAACAGAGAATGATGACAACAGTAGACAATCATAAAAGAAAGCATATAAATGGAAAAACAAATTGTAGAATATGATATTAAAAAAGGTCATCAGGGCCTGCACATTTTTTTAGAATCTAGACCTTTTAACATTTTATTAACCCTTGCTAACCGAAAACAATGAAAATGAAAAGGTGTGGTTTACTGAAGATTGAGGCGAGATATAATTTGTAGATGTTTGGCTTAAAGGAGAAGTTAGTGGATTTCCAAATGAAATCAATAATTAGTAACTGTGGCAAACAAGGAACTTGAAGCAACAAAATATCTATTGAAACAGTTCAGGATCTCGTGTTTATTTGACACAGGAACAGCGTTAACTAGAAGTTGTGATGGCAGATCAGATGAAAGAGCTGTCGTAGAGTGATTTGACGTTTTTCCAGAGTCTTTTAGGTTCATTTAAATCTTTGGAGTGTTGAGATAAGAAGTAATTACATTTAGTGGTTTTGATGGAAGCTGTATATTTATTCTGCAGCTGTCAAAAATGCAACCAGTCAGTGTCTGAGCCAGAATGTTTGGCTGTAGCCCCAAGCTGATCTCTCCTGTGCAAAACCAGGGGCTGTCTTGTCCTTTTATTCTGAACTGGCGAAAAGGGGCATGTTACTTTACAAAATAAATTAAACTATTCTGAAAATAGTTCCAAGCAGTTTTCACATTATCAATTAGGAGAATATACAGCCAGTCAAAATTGGACAGGTCCCAAAGGAAGGCCTCTTCACTAAAACGTTTCATATCCCATTTTTGAATTAGTCTAGACTTGGAGCGAGGTAGGTATATATAAATACATTACATGTTAAAATGTTGCTAAAGTGAAAACAAAGAGTAGGAGTGAAGCAAACAGATACAGGCTAGCAGAGAGGAGACTGCAAGCACTACACACTGATGCAATTAATCCGCTAAATGATGCAAGAGGTTACATTTAGCAACTTTAAAAAATAAGTTTTTATTCTGTGAAAATGTGATGAATGAATGTGAGCTAGTTCATGTTTGAATTGTGAGATTAGTTCAAAATGTTCTATGTGGTGAGCTATGAAAAATACTTAATTCCGTTTTAATCTGTGTGAGCTGAACTTGGAACTGGTTCATTTGAAGGGTGAACTATCAAAACACTATATGACACATTTGCACAATATCTATGGTGTTCATTCAAGGATTAATGTGTTTTGTGTTCGTGTTTATGAATCAGGCTCCTTCAGTACTGAAGATAAAAGCTCTTCACTCAAACTAAGGATGAACACAATAAACCTACATTATGATTCATGGGTGTATCAATCAATTCAGTATATCACAGTAACAAAAAATATGTCTGCAGATAGCAGCAACTAATTCAGTTTGTGCTCATGTTTATAATAAGATGAAATAATTCAAAGTGTAATTTTGTTCCAGAAAATTGCTTCTCTCAAGTGATTCTGCTAAACTCATTGGACATGGAAAAATGGACACTCAAAATACCTGGCTGCTGTATGTTAAGTTATCATGTGGCACTCACAGTGAGGATGTCACAGCTGCCCGCTGTCACCATCTTCTTGGACAGTACCGTAGCAGTCCTGGGGTCAATACTGAACTTTTCGTCATCGTTGCCATCAATAATGCTGTATGTGATGTTGGCATTGGCGCCGAAGTCACGGTCATACGCAAAGACACGATACACAGGTTCACCACGTTTGTTGCGTTCCCGTTCAGGCAAGCTGATGCGATACGTGACCTCCGGGAAGGTGGGTGCGTTGTCATTCTCATCCTCAATGTGAACTATGACCCAAACAGTCGACTGCCGGGTTGTCACTGGACCATCTATTACCGTCACCTGCAGTGGTAGCACACGGAAAATAATCACTCATTCCTGCAAATCATATGGTAAAAATCATACTTTTTTGAGATTTATATATTTATTTTATATCTGAGCATATGTATTTATTGACTTCTTAAACATTGCTTGTGCAGTGTGAGTGCCGGCACACGTGTGGTTGAGATTCCGGGAAATCTTTTTGTTTTATTGATCCTCTGGAAGCAGAGCCAGAGGTCTGATCGCTGATCAATTGGATCAAATAAGGGTGAGAATCATTGCCAGCCTTAGTGCTCACCAGACTATTAATTACAGACAGGCTGCATAAGCATGAAGGGAAAACAATAGGTGGTATGCATGACTGACATTTCTATAGAAATAAGAAGGCAGGAAGATTTACCAACAAATACATCCATATCCCTAGACATTAACTCATTTTAGATGTACAAGAGTGCATCATGCTTTAAATGTAAACTTCTTTTTACATAATTTTCTTTACAGCTTCCACTTTGTAGTAAATAAAATAGGCTCTTAATTAGTAAGACAGCGGGCGCTGGAGAAGTCGAGACGATTCGGCAGGCATACAATACATAACAATGACACCAAGCTGCTGAGCTGTGGGCCAGCTTGGGGGTTATTTTATTCCATTTCGAAGAAGGGCAAAGTGCTAGTAGATTCATTAACATTTGATGAGTTGTGAGAAGTCAGAAGAAAAACAAGTTTGCTCATGTCTCCAAAGTCAAGAATCTGTGATTATCAGGTTCATCTGCATGCAGAGCAGCAGCAGCAACAGAAATGGTAATCACACAGCTCTCTGTATGCCTAGTGTCTACACCTATCAAAATGCTGGACGGACCGACTTCTCGTCTCACCGTTTCCCATCCTGAGCCGAGAAGATAACCAAGGATGAATGATTACATTTTTTAAAAATCCTAAACCTGCTGTCCCAAAAGTACAGTCATTTATCACATTTTATGGAGCCTTGAGGGCCTGCCAAGGTTGTCCTCCACCCTGTCTTTGTTAATAGTGAGCTGTGGCAGGTGGCAGGGTAGAATAAATAACACTATACACTGTGAACACAGTTGTTGTTTTTTTACTGTACCTCTAAAAAGTGCTGCGCCTGTTGTTCTCTGTCCAGTTTCCTGGCCGTAGTTGTAATCAGCCCTAAAAAGATACATTTTAGTTAATGTCAACACAGATTGCAGAACGTTAATACAAGTATTTGCTTCTAATTGTGTGATTCAGATGTTTAATTTAAGGATTTCACATTTAAAGAGCATTATTGCTTTATTAATGAGCCAGTGCATTCATACATGCTCTCCAAAACACACAGCCTGCAGCCCCTGGCACATACAGTCACGTTTGACACGTTCCTGTGGCTTTGTGTGACTGAGGATCATCTGGTCAGCCAACAATCCAGCAGGGAAATCAGAGCAGCTGATCAAAGCTCAGACTCAGGCTTATTATTTAGATGATGCTCTGGCTATAACTGCAAACAATTGTACTAAAAAATAAGCTAAAACAAACGTATCTTTCATCTTAGGGATTTTGAACTACAAAATTTCACACACACTACTTGTTAAGATTCAATAATTTATTGTTTTAATCTGAACTAAATCAAATGTCTGCATTATTTATTTGAATTACATAAGACTTTTTCCCAAAAGTGAAGGTAAAAAAAAAACCACATTCAAGGATTCAAGGTTCTTTATTTGTCATAAACATGGTGCATGTGGTGGAATGAAATTGTGTACACAGGGTCCCAGTTACATCCAACAAAAGTACAAAATGTAAAAGAAAAAAGTAATACGATCTAAGATATGAACCAAGAAGAAGGTTAACTAGAAATACGCCAAGCACTAGTAGTGCAAAAACAACACGCCGAACAGCAGCACGAACATGAGTCAGTGTGAGCACGAGTATGAATTGTGCTACACATTGTGACTTTGTCAACAAATATAAGCTATAAAGGTTTATGCTGATTTTTTTTCCCCAGTTTTCAGTTAAAAAAAATCAAAAATTAAAGTAATTCAAAAATGACCAAATATTGCTTTTGACCAACGAAAAAACAAACTCAATTCAAAACAGATTCAGGCAATTTCAATCATTTTGTTTTTCTGGGTAAAAGATGCTGAACACAGCTAATTTACAGTTCAGTGTTTCAGTCGCATCCAGCCTAGCATGCGGACACATTTGTTTCTAAAACTTACCAAATATGACTCCACATAAAAACCATGCCCTCAAATAACTATTGATACAGTTATTGCTTTTGTGTAAAATCAGTATAAGATACTTGTTGTAATAAATTTAATTTGTAAAAGATTCATACAATATACAAGCTAGGAAGTTATTGCTGTTCTTGTTTAAAAAAGAATAAAGAGAATGTAAAAGTTTAGGAGCTTGAAGAACTTTGGACCTAGTCACAGGGGCAACAACTTTTAAGCAGGAACTCCCAAGCATCCTTCTCCCCAGCTCATTCAAACAAGCATTAGAGGTGCTCTCAGGCCAGTTGTGAGATGCAGTAAACTCTCAAGCAAGTTCTGGGTCTGCCCCTAAGTCCCCTCCAAGAGGGTTATGTCTGAAATACCTTCCTTGAAAGTCATCCAGAAAACATCCATACTTGATATCCAAGCTGGCTGCTTTATAAGAGCAACAGCTCAGCTCTAAGCTCCCCTTGAATAGCAGAGTTCCTCAACAAAACTCTCTAAAAATGAGTCTAACAATTTTCAGTCAGGTCATCTGGACAGTTTCTTTTTATTTTTTTCTGAAATGTTTCATCTTCCATCCAGAAGGCTTTGTCAGTAAAGGAAACACACAACACAAAACTGATTCTTCCCCCAAACAGCTTACTCCAAAGTGGAACAAACCAGTTATGTTGGTGCTAAGATGGTGTCTTTGGCACGCCCCCTCCTCAGTGTGTAAGGCCCTCTTCCTCGTTGAAAATCATGTCAAACTGGTTCAAAATAAAAAAAGTCCATGCGAAATAATCCAGATATACAATCCAACAATTTTCTGTCAGGTCATCTGGACAGTTTCTAAAAATGAGTCCAACCATTCTGCAGAGGAAGCTAATTTCAGCTGTAATTATTTGCAATTTGGGCAGCACGGTGGCACACCTGGTAGAGCTGCTGCCTCTCAGCGAGCAGGTACTTGGTTCAAACCCCGGTCCATGGGCCTTTCTGGGTGGAGTTTGCATGTTCTCTCCGTGCATGCGTGGGTTTTCTCCGGTTACTTCGGTTTCCTTCCACAGACCAAAAACATGCATGTTAGGCTGATTGGTAACTCTAAATTGTCTCTAGGTGTGAGTGAGAGAGTGAATGGTTGTTTGTCTCGTTTGTCTCTATGTGGCCCTGTGATGGACTTGCGACCTGTCCAGGGTGTACCCCGCCCCTCGCACAGTGATTGCTGGACATGGGC